CTCTATTTAGTAAAACGATCGGTAACGGTTATGATATTTTCGTATTCCACTCCGTTAACGTCGCTAGTACTGCGAGGGAGTTCCACTATAAAATCTACCGCGATTTCTATCTAGGATTAGTTCGGTATTAGTAACTATTATAAATTCCCGAAGTAAGCTTATCTCGACGCTTTTACTCTTTTATAAATATAATAGTTAGCGATATAGCGTTTAACGTCTTTTAGGACCTCCGGCTAGTAATAACTCTACTTAATCGCGGTAAATATTTTACTTTTCCTAGGGTATCTAGCGATAGGGTTATCGTAAAAGGTCTCTAGGATGCGTAGCCTCAGTCCATCGTCCCGAGGAATCTATAATCGATTTTAGAACTAAATCTTTCCGTCTTTCTCTAAGCAGTCTATAAGGGAGATTCCTTCGTTAGGACCGGGAAGGGTTCTAGACCCCTATACGACCGCATCCCGAATTCTCTTAACTAATAGATCTATCTTACCGGAATAGACGACATTAATATATTCGGTTAGGGTGAGTTCTTCACGAAGGACTTTCTCCGCGAGAGCTTAAGCCGACCTTAATTATCCAGCTTATAAAAGGCTAACCCCTTTTCTAAGGTTATAAGGCTTCAGTAATACTTATTACTAATAGCGAACCCTCTCGTCGTCCGTACCAGTAGGTTTATACTCCGGTCGACGCGTTAAACTATCGGGCTTAGTACCTTATTTCCTAGGTCGGTAGTCTATTTTAAAGTAAAACTTAGACAGGAATTCACTCTAACGAGCCTAACGTCGGTTAAGCTATTTCGTTATCATAAAGTATTTAAGGGACTTATAGTCGGACAGTACGCGAACGGGATAATCTAGATTAGCACCAGCTAGTTTAGGTCGTCATTCTTTAAAAGCTCGGATAATAGCTAGTAGTTCTTTATCATAAATTTCGTAATTACATTCGGTAGGATTCATCTTTTTCGAATAAAAGGCTACCGGCCGGAGCCTTCCGTTAGGTCCCTTCTAAGATAGTACTCCTATAGTTACTAGGTTAGAAGCATCGACTTCTACCTAAGTCTCCGCGTCAGGATCGAATAGGGCCAGAACGGGTACTATAGTAAATCGTCTCTTTAGTTCCTCGAATACTTACTAGTATACTACGCTCTATCGGAAAGGAATGTCCTTCTTCGTTAGCTCGGTTAATAAACGAGCGACCCTCCTAAACCCTTTAATAAATATACGGTAGAAGTTAGCGAATCCTAAAAATGATAAAATATCTTTAGTAGAGCGTAGGACCGACCATTCCTAAACCGTCCTAACCTTCTTAGGGTCCATCCGGATACTAATAGTCGACATAATTAGCCTAAGATATTTAACTTCTTATACATAAAATTTACTCTTCGTAATATCTACGTAGAGGCCGTACTCTCGGAGGCGCTTCATCACTTCGTCGACATGTCGTTCGTAATCTTATAAACTATCGCTAAAGATAAGGACGTCGTCGAGGTAGGTAGTATAGTACTTATTAAGGATATCCTATAAGGCGGAGTTAATATAACCTTAGAATAACGAAGGGGCGTTATATAGTCTGAACGGTATAACTAGGTATTCGAATTAACTATAACGAGTAGTAAAAGCCGTTTTCTACTCGTCTCCCTCTTTAATACGTAATCGATTAAAAGTAGAAATAATATCGAGCTTCGTAAAATATCTAGCTTTATAGAGTTTATCCAGCGTTTCCCTCATCCGGGGAATTAGATAACGATTCTTAATCGTAATAGTATTAAGAGCTCGGTAGTCTACGTAAAACCTTAATCCCTTACCGGGTTTCTTTACTAATAAAATAGGGGAAGATATTAAGGAGGTAGAGGGTCGGATCTATTTCTTCTCGAGATGCTCTCGAATATATTTCTCGATAACTTATACTTCTTATTTCGACATTAGATAAGGTCGCTTAAAGGGTAACTTATAGGGGTCCGTCTCTATAAGCCGAATCTCGTAGTTAACTCCGGTACGACTCGGGAGTAAGGTATCGGCGTAAGGCTTCGAAAATAAGGCTAGGTGTTTATAGTAGATTTTAGGTAACTTATTAGCGGGGTCACCGTATTCTTTTCCTTTTAACGCGATATCTACGTCTTCCGGGTTAGTAATAAAGCAGTTTAGAGACGCTGCGTAGAGAGCGTAGAGTATAGAGTTAGGGTCGTTAGGATCTCCGAGGGGATCTTGATTTTCCCGTACAGGGATAAATAACTGAGCGGACTCGACTTCATTCTTCTTTAGTAGCTTATATAGCTTATTTAAGGATATATCCTTACACTTAATTCCATCGATAGTTAGATTCCTTAGTGGACTAGGAGGCCCTTAAGTACTGTAAACTATGTAAATCTTGCGATAAGGTAGGTAAGATAAGTAATATTCGGGAGAAAAGGTAATAGATCGAGAGGCGAAGTCCGGTATTACCCTATACTGGGTCATCTAAGATAGGCTAAGAATTATGAAATAGCCTATTTATAGTATAATATAAAAGTAGATGCGTTTATAGTATTACCTAATCGCTATATCTAGCTTAGCGAAGTAGGTAACCTCACTATAGCGATTATCGGTAAGTCTACATCCTCGCGGTTTATCCAGCGACTGAATGCAACCTAGTAACTTATTTTATTCTAGGAAGCGTTGACTTACGAAGTATATATTAGCGCCGGTATCTAGTAAAGCTTCGTACTTCGCCGTCATTATAGGAAGGATTAGAGACTCGAGCGGGTAGTTAATCTAAGTCGGCGGTAAAGGATAAGGGGTCCCTAGCGTACAGTCTAGGAGGATATAATCGGCTTCCTCGACCTATAACGCCGTAAGTCGTAAAAACGCTTTACCGCGCTCGGGGGTAGGGCGTCCTAGGTTATGCGAGTACTCATAACCTAGGACCGATCTTTTTCCGAGAGTTCTAATACGTCGTCTCTATCAGACTCGGTAGATACGTCTTCGGGGTCTAAGGTGAATTAAGGCTCTTCATCGTCCGAGTCTCCCATTTCTAATATATCTAGGACTGAGAGTCCTATATCCTTCTTCCACTTTACGAGTCGGTAATTAGGTTTCTTTAGCCGACATCCTTTTATCCTATAGTCGAAGTACTTATCGTCCTTCTTTAATTATGCGAGGACCTTTAGGTCAGATACGTTAGGGGCCCAGTCGGGACGGGGGCCCTTCGAGGAAGCGGATTTATCTCGTACCGGGGCTGTCTTCGTTCTCACAGCTTTAGTAGAAGGAGCCTTCGGAGTGGACTTAATAATATAAGAAGTAGTAGTATTCGCCTTTTAACGGAATTTTCGGTCGAGTAGGAAGCGTTCCTTCCTACGATAGAGTTCGACTAGGTCTTCCATTTCTTCGCAGTCTTAGCCACTAGCATTATAGACTAAGCTCTATAACCCGTCATCTAGCTTAGCGATGAAGTCTACGATCTTTTCTAATTCGGCTTTATTAAGGAAGACGACATATCGTTGAAACTTAGCTAAAAAAGTATCTAACCGCTCCTTAGGGGTCTTCTTAAGCTGATTATATTAAAGGCGAGCTTCCTTATCGCGATGATGATCACTATAGAGTCGATCGAGGTATAAAATGATGTCACTAACTCGTTAATACTTCGTAGTTTAGTCTGTAAAGGGGGTATCCGGTAGATAGGGTTCGACATTCTGATAAGCGTCGCTAGTGAGTCGAGTACTTACGTAAATAACCGTAGCGAGTGCGCCTTATGACCTCTAAATAGCTTCCTCGGCTTTTAGTTTATAAAGAACCTTACTGCGCTACTCGTAATATCTACCTTTAGTCCCGTCGAACTTAGGCGGGTTAGACACCTTTATACGAGGGGCCGTAACTACGTTAACTAACTTAGTCGTATACGGAGCTAAGACTGGTACTAGAGCGGGTACGCGAGGCGGAGGCATTAAACCTCGCGTTGAGAGACCTCTCATTCCTAGGGTGCCTCTACGACCGGCTCTACTTACCTAGTATACGCGGTACTAATCTAGGTCGTCATTAACATTATATCCCCTATCCGTAGGTTCCGGCGTCTAAGAGCGACTTACCGAACGATTCTAACGGCTCGGAGGTTAGATCGCTGTATTATAATAAGTGCTAGGTACCGGCGGGTAGAGGCGACTTTAGTCTTACGGCTGAGCGGTCCTTAAGCGTAAGACTTCTTATTTAAGGTCCTTACTAGTAGCGATCTATTAGGCGTAGACATCTTCTAATCGTTTACGTTCAGCGTCACAATCATTAAGCTAATTTTAAACGTTCATCGTTCGGTTAGCTTAGTCCTATACTTTAGAAGTGAGGTCTATAACTTCCGCCTCTAAGTTAATAATGCGGGCCTATTAATCTCGGGTGTTTTAAGAGTTCAGTCTATTAATTTAGCCTTCTAGTTCTTAGACTCGATTGTCTCTACTCTATTTCCAAGCCGCGATATGTTCGTTAAGAGCTTTACTCGCCGTCCGATAAGTAGTCACTATCTCTTTCAATTTAGTAACCTAAGTATGTACTTAGATATAACGACCGGTAACGCGACGCATTAAGGTCAAGAGGAATTCCACTCCCATTAGCTCCTTAACGAAATGTCGTAGCGACGTAGCTACGGGGAAGGTAAGATCTCGAGAGTCTATTCTAGCGAGAAGCTCTAGGGCCACTAACTCTCCTTTCTCATTCTTTTTCCATCGTAGCGCCTAACTCTAATCGACGCCTATCTTAGTGGTAAAAGATGTATACTTAGGTTCGTTAAGGTCCTGGGGTACGTTCGCTACCAGTCCCGTAGACTAGGGTTATCCTTATACCTCGTTCTCTTATTCATCTTTAGGTATGATAGTATATTCGCGTTCTTATTCTTAAATTTCTTATAGGCGAGGCTCTCGTAGTCCTTCATCCTATACATTTCTTTCGCCGGGCCGAGCTCGAGTTTCAGTATCCGAGGTAGTAGTACTAGAAGGTTAAGAGCGACGAGGAGGAGGTTAAAGGGGGGACGAACTCCAGGCGCTAGGCATTAAGGAAGCGACCCGAGAGAGTGGATTCGCGGTATTCGTAACTAACATCGGATGACGTATAGGGGCTGTTCCCTATAGGTTCTCGATAGAGCGCCGAATCGAGGGTTACGTCGGGAGCTGGAACGATTATTAAGTTTCCGAACGTCTAGCCGTCTATAAAGACTGCTAAGTAGGAGGATCAGGTTCGGGTTTAGGAGGATCTCTTACGAAGAGACGGTCGAGGTTCAGAAGATCGTCATCTCTATCGTCTCCGGGACCTAGCCGAGAAGGTTACCGGTTACGCCTCAGGTTGTAAGGATTCCGTCCGCCGTTACTTAGGTTTAAATACATAGTAATCAGCGTTACTTCTAAGTGACGAATAGAGAGGGTAAGGGGAAGGAGAGATATAGGGAAGGAAAGTCAGGCCTTGATTGTGATCCTTAGTGTGATAGTGAAAACCGGTTTAATATAATCGCATGCGGAATCAAGTCATAAGTTTAGAGCTACGTCGAGGCTAGGTAATTCCTTATGGTAAAGTAGTAGAGAAGGGTAAGTCTTAACTGGTCTTAGATCACTGGATTTGATATGATCTCTTACCGGAGCTCTAAGGCAGTCAGGACTGAAGTTTATTAGGCTTAGACGCGTCTTAGATGAGTAGACTTAATGGTTCTTAGTTTGATGCGATCGCATGTAAGTTCCACGAAGTCTCTACTACGGCGCGTCGAAGCCGGTTAATTACAGGTCTTAGAAAGTATCACGGCGCAGCCTTAAACAGGAGAGATCGCTATTAAGGGTGCAATTATGATATGAATTCTGAGACGAAGGAATCTAACTAGTGGTTGCGGCGATGGCGCGAAAGATTAAGTTGTGCGCGCTCAGCCTCGTGTGGGGAATCCAGCCTTGTGCGGGGTACCCCAGACCTGAGGCGCGTAGGCCGTGACACTAGAGATAGGAATTTACCGAAAAGCCTATCTTTTTACCCTTCTAGTCTCGCTTAAGAAGATAGATACTAGATACCTTAAGACCCTAGATTACTATCTAGATTATAATTAAGAGGCCCTATACTTACCTTAAGGTATAATAAAATCCTTTTACTACTTCTATTCTAGTATATTAAGTAGCTATTTACGCGTAAACCTACTACTATAGAGTATTAAATACTTATCTAACTAAATAACTTATAACTATTCCTAAGTTTAATCTTTAGATACTTATCACGAATACCTACGTAATACTGGACACTCGGCCTAGGCCACTAACTAAGGAGTTAGGCCGCTAGCTAAGTAGCTGGCTTACCGTATGTATATAGTAAGAGGGGTCGTACCTGTCAACCTTAAAGCCTCTTTAAGCGTTGACATCTCTATCTATAGGCTAGTTATCTATCATTATTAATCTCATAGTATACACATTTACCCTCCAGTTAGCTAACTAGTCTGATAATACTAAGGCTAACTTAACGCGTTTATAAGTATATTACTTAATTAGTTTATATCTATTTTTAGCTATCTAGTAGTATAATCTATAATTACGTATTACTCTTTAATCGATGTCGATTAAGATGTTAAGATTGTTATTATTTATTAACTATTAATATGAACATCTAAGAGATCTCTTTATATTACGGACGATTCTTCGCTTTATTATCATAGTGTAACCTACAATAGGAACGTAATCACTATTAAGGGTGTAGTTATAATATAAATTCTAAGATAAAGGAGTCTAACTAATAGTTATAGTAATACCATAAAAGATAAGGCTTATGTACCCTTAGCCTTATATAGGAAAGCTAGCCTTATATAGGGTAGTGTGATGGGTTGAACCCAGAAGGAGGCTCGGTTCTGACGAACCAGCGCCAAGACTAACGACAGGACTAACGCCACCTCCTGATTGGCTAAATTTACCTGTACATTGTACAGGCAAAAGGGCAGCTTCCTGATTAGACGAGGCACGTACCGTACAAGGGATACCGAATCCTGGCAAGCTGAGACACCGTACGCAAGGGAAGGTAAGGAAGAGAGACAAAAGGCAAGGGAAACGTAAGGCGTGTACGAAAGAGGAAGGACAAGGGAGAAAGGGGAAGACATTGAGTATCCCTTGCGGAGGAGCGTACGATATAAGGAGAGAAGGAGGGGACATTATTCCTCCTTCTCTCTCCTCAGATTTATCCTCCTTATTACTAGGTTGGCTAGCTAGTTACAGAACTCTTTCCAAACCCTCACAGGTAGTCCACTACCTAAGGCGCGTAGGCCACGATATTTAACATGTTAAATATTTTTTGAGGTCTACTTAGGCGTTAACAACTATATAACTTAAGATAGCTAAGAGTATACTAGACTAAACTATAAGGTAGTTAAACGATATTAGTAATCTCTTACTATAATTTTCTAGCTATATAAAGTCTATAAACTATAGTATATATAAACTTAGAATCGCTATTACTATTTAATATTATAAGAGTAATTATAGAGAGATTAAGCGAAGTTAAATGTCAGAGCTGCTTACTATATGGCCTAACGGGGTTAGGCTTCCTTAGTTATAGTTCCTTTATTATATAAGCTAGGTCGAGAGTACGTAAGGTATAAGTAGTTATATAGCTTTAGAATAGTATAGTAAAGTAGATGTTATAAGTTAGCTACGAGAGAGTATAACTATAAAAGAGTAATAAGCGTAGCTATATACTTATAAGGTATATCCTAATATAGTAATTTCTAGGCTCTACTAGAATGTTACTGTATTAATAGTATACTAGTATACTAACATTCTACTTTCCCTTTCTAGGGGTTACGTACCCTCGTGACCTCTAATCTCTCTCTAGTATACATACTACAGCGTTAGACTACCCCCTCGGTAGACCTTCCCTTAGTTACCTCACCCTGGGTTACATATAAGGCCATCCCTAACATTAAAGTGATTGAAGAAATAAGTAGTGTTATAATGGGAGAGTCTACGGGGTGAAACGTAATTAGTAGGATTTGCCGGTATAATGTACAGGTAGACACTTGTAGACACTAATTAGCTAGATCTCTAATACTAGGTGTAAGGTTTCTTTTTCTGTAATCTTTTCAATAAGGATTAATGTACTAAGTAATCCTAATAAACAACTTGAAAAGGAGTTAAGGATAGTGATTAATTAAGTTATAAATCAACATACTTCGGACTCTTTACACTACGTTATTAATACTATATAATAGCCATTATCCCTAACACTATGCCTACTATTGTATGATTTAATACATCTAGCTAAGACCCTCGTCCTAGTTTAGTAGTACCTGAAGATCTAGGAGATGGAAGAATCATGGTGTAGACGCATATTGTAGAAGTATATTTTAACTAGGGTACTGTACATACATGTTGAATTAAGGTTCTATACGTTGAGTTAAGGTTTAACATGTTCAGTTTAGGTTTAACATGTTTAGTTAAGGTTCTACACGTTGAATTAAGGTTTAACATATTTAGTTAAGGTTCTACACGTAAAGTTAAGGTTTAATATGTTTAGTTAAGGTTTAATACGTTAAGTTAAGGTTTAACATGTTTAGTTAAGGTTTAATACGTTGAGATAAGGTTTAACATGTTTAGTTAAGGTTCTACACGTTGAATTAAGGTTTAACATGTTCAGTTAAGGTTATCACTAACCGCCAAGTGTAACTCGTACGTAACAGCACCTTATTATCTAAGCACCGCATGCTCACCGCCTAAGGGAAGCTTCCTTCCCCATACTTTAAGTTTTAGTTAAGATATACTATTAAGGAATACCTATACCTACCTGTACCTATCGCTACCCTCTGCCTATCTTTGTAGGCCGTTCCTGACATCCAGCCTCGATACTAATAGGCTTATATTACCAATTAGGATCGAGCCTAAGACCGAGCTGATGTCCGTCCTCATGTTGATGAAATCGGTTGTTTCTAGGTTCCTGATCACGTCTTTATTCTACCTCACGTACGAGTATGTGACCGAGGTACACTAGTCTAACCCCAGCTCCTTCACCAACTCAACCGTGTTCTAGTTCATGCTCGCGCTCACGATGATGCTCAGAAACGACAAGAAGAAGGCGAATATCATCCTCTCTACGTTCGTTAACGAAACCCCGTCGATCTCCTAGACCATGCTGATGGCGTACTTCGCCCTCGTGATCATGTCCCTAGGGTTGACTGAGTTCGCTATCGTGTGCAGGTTGATACTAACGGACATCGACCCGCCGCTGCTGACCCTCTTGACTAGCCTGATGCCTAGGTTGATGGTCGACACCACGAGCTCGTAGTAGTAGTCGGACATGGAGAGGAGCGTGTTGATCGCCGCGGGCTTAGTCAAGAGCAAGCCGCCGTACTTCGATGTATCGATTGCCTACTATTACATGATCCTAGTTAGCTTTATCATCGCGATCAAGTACGCGGGCTTATTAGTGACTACCTTAAACTTCACGAGCGGGAGGCTGGACACCTTCGGGTAGTCTATCACGACCATGTCCTAGTATAGATTTGCCCACGTACTAAGCATCATGCCCATCCTCATGAACCTGTACGGCCCCGCTAACCCATGCCTCTACATGATGGTGTTCGTGATCCTGTTCTCGAACCTAGTCACGCTTGTCTTCCAGTATCTCTTGTTGATCATGACCTTATACATGCCCCTCCACGACTTCGGCTTCAACATTATGGTCTCGTACATCTTCCTGTCCAGTCACTTAGACATCTCCTTGAACGTCATCATAGTTAGTATCGCAGGGTTAGGTTTCTCCAGCATGCTGTTCCTCATCGTACACTCATCCACCTGGATGGAGACAGTGGGTACCCTATTCACGTGCCAGTACTTTTACCAGCGGTAGTAAATGTCTCTAATCCTGGCAAGTGTCATGGGTGCGAGCATCTAGATCTCGTCGCCGTCGAAGCTGGCATTAGTCTTATCGTAGCTCTCAAGCAGGACCCTAGTCGAGTGGATATAAGTGGTGGCTGGCTGGACTATCATTAGTAACGCACTGTTAGGGCTAGGACGGGCACCTCTAGACTACGAAGACGTCGCTAGCCTATAACTTACACATATAGCACTTTCCATCCTCGGACACATACATGAACTTAGCCCTCTACATGATCCCGATCGGTAGTCTGACGACCCTATCGTAGAAATTCGCGTCCCTAGACATGCTGCTGCGCGACACTACCGACCTGCCCGTGTTGGTGGGCCTGCACCCGTACACTACTTACGTAAGATGCCGTTCTTGTTCGCGAACCTGTTAAAGTAGAACGTCAACATGTCTGACATGCTCTTATCCCTAGTGATGACCACCTAGTTCATTATGCTAGCTTCTAAGGACATTATCTTATTGGCCCTCACGAAGTCATACGGGATCGAGTAGGTATCTGTCTTCGCGCTCTTGTTCATGTGCCCCTTACAGTCCCTAGTCATCTTCGCATCCTCGAGCTCGACCTTATATACCTCTAAGTTCTCGGTCCTGATAGTAGTCTACACGTACTTCACGATGAACGGCACCCTAGAGGTGATGTTCCCATCCTTGATCATGCACCTGACGTTGAACGGTCTCGGGTTCTTAATCCGACTCTTGTACATCGTCGTGTCCATGGTGAGGTACGTATGCGCGTTCCACCTAGGATGGCTTAGCCACACTCTCGTTCTGATTCGCGAAGCGGCCACGTACGCGGTGATGAGCTGGAGCTTGTATCCGGTCGTGGCCGTACACATGTTTAAGTACTCGCCCATGGTGTCATAGGTGAACTCGGACATCTGCGCAACGATGTACACGATACCCTTCATTCTCTCTACCACGCTCCCGGACCTCGGTCCCAGTCGTGGTACCAGCACAAACGCAGAACATGTACGTGTTTTTAGTTGTAGAGATCGTCGTGCGGTGGATCGTGACCTAAAAGAAGGCGCCGGACGCGTGTAGTATGACAACTTGCCCCCTGTATACAATGTTCTTCACGGAGACATCGGTGTTCGTGATGATGTAGTTAAACGTCATGTAGTTCGCTAATGTGTCGAGGTGGATGTACACGACCGAGTCTCCGCTGATCAAAACATCTAGATCCCCCTTCGCGATGAAGTAGGCGATATCGTACACGTACATATTCTTCACTACATTTGTGGACATATTGATCTTCTTGAACGCGGTCATGAGCTTGTTGATGCGCCTGATCCTGTTCACGGACTCGTGCAGCTTGTTGTAAGCGGTATAGGCTGTCATCACGAGCGCGGACCTGTACATGGCCATCGCCTTGTTCAGGAACGTAAATGAGTAGCTGAGGACGTACGTGACCATAGGCATCCTTCCGCACGAGAAGCAGAAGTAGAAGCGGTTTCCCTGGGAGAGCGAGACCAGCCTGTCGTTAATGTTCTTGTACACGGGCATGTTGCGCTTGACGGTCACCTCGTGTACTTAAGTCGCCTCATCATCACCATCTGAGGGCCACTAATAGCACCTCCACCATCATTAACAGGATCACCAACATGGTCGAGATGACCATAGTCACCACGTTGGTGGCCTTCTACACGGTCATTATCATGGTCATCGCGAGCGGCGAGAGCGCGGAACTTGTCGGACATGCTAGAGCAGGATCTTAGTGTTGATGGTGTTGGTGATGCTGAGTTGATATCCATGTTCATCATCGTCATCTATACCCTCGACATCGTCCTGCTCCGATAAGTAGCTCGACCACTACCTACGCGTCTCCGCAGGCCTACTCTTGTGCGCAGTACTCTGTGGCCGTGGGGCAATACAGCAGCTCAAAGATGGATACCTCCCCGAACATCTACCCTATCTGCGATGAGGACAAGAACACGGCTACGGCCAGGTACGTGCATGTGAAATTAGGGTTGGACAAGCCCCCGGAGCCGGTCGTCTACAGGTGCAAGCCCGTCCACGAGAGCGTAAAGAACATCAACACCAAGATGGCGGCCGCGTATAGCCTCATGAGGAACAACGATAACATATTAATGAGCAAGATTCCACTCCCGTAAACCAACACAGCGGTGATCAAGACCATCTTGACGAACCTAATGGTGGAGGTAGAGCTGAGGATGAACCGCTACATCTCCGAGATCATGTACATGACCATGAGCGAGGGGATGTTCGGCGACTTGTTCAGGATCGAGATACAGGACATTAGCTGCAGCTGGTTACCGGACGGGGTCTCGAGCAAGACCGCGAAGCTGAGGACGAAGTCTAACAGAGAGATGACCGCGAAGATCGCCATCTGCGTACAGGAGGCCGTCCCTGGCATCAGGTTGGCGGGCTTGTACGAGTACACGGTCGTAGGCGAGATCATGAGGCTAGAGTACATCACCACCATGACCGAGCTCAACGTCTCGACCAGGATCGACGACATCTCCACGTAGATGATCGCGAGGAAGTACAAGTGCGAGGCCACTGTATTCTACTCGTCTGGGATCGAGTTGCAGAAGGGGGTTACGTACATGCACCTGAGGTCGGTCATGTACATGTTCATGGACGTGGTTGGGTCCGAGCAGACGTTGGGGCGCTAAATCGACAAGTGGTTCATGAACGAGGTCAGGAGGGTAGACCACGACGTGATCTACGTCAGAGATCTGAGGCCGCGCAAGGGCACGAACATGATCAAGGCTAACGGCATGAAGGCGTACATACGTCTTCTACTACATGTTTGGGTACGTCGTGACGCTAGGCGACCAGAACCTCACCATCCATCAGGTGCAGCGTTGTAAAAGTCGTCTATGTACTTGTGTAAGATGAGGAATACACCTGACGTTATAGTGGCGGAGATGACAGGGAACGGGAACTTGGTCTACCTCGACACCCTGGCCAGGAACGGCATCCATGTCCCGCAGTCGAGGAGCTACGTCTCCACGCCAACCACCATGTTCGAGATGCCACCTATGATCGTGAGGGGCGGCCGGACCGACCGCTCAAAGATGCCTAAGCATGTACTCACGACCATTCCCAACAACGGGTTGGTGTGCGCGACCAGCTTCAGGACCTTGCGACCGAAGAGGCCCACGATCGAGTTACTGTACACGAATGGCTACCTGTACATGAACTCGAACAGATGTATGGTCAGGTGGTGCCTGTACATACGGATATGGACGAGGTCATCATCTCGAACCTAGTGGTGAGGGTGGTGAAGAAGATACCTAACAGGGTAGACATGGTCAGAAGGGCCTTCATGAGCGCGCTACAGACGTTAGCATGAACATGATACTGTATGACGTCAAATACATGTTGTTCTGCATGAGGGCGAGGGTGTACGAGATGGCCTAGACCAACGCGTCTGTCAGCAGGAAGATCATCGTCGTCTTCAGCGCGGGTAGGCTCCAGGAGATGAACGAGATGAAGACCAGTAACCTCCCTTACATCGCGATCGACCCCGAGATCCAACATCAAGTTCATCACCAGGTCCATGTGGAACTTGAAGATCATGACGTACGACACCAACACGAGTATATCCAGGTAGGTGAGTACAACCTGGAGCCGGAACGGTAACTTATCGTACTACACGGGAATGTTCGAGACGTCCACCGACATAAGGGACGTAGTGACGGGGACGTAGGTGACGGGAACCCTAGCGGTGTCCCCCTCCAGCACCCCGTACCATACTAGGGCCATCAATACGCTAAGGAGCATGAGCATCAGCACGTTCGGATGTGGGTACATCCACGACTACATGCCCAGGGACGGCGTCGGAATGCCGCCCACGACCATGAACATGATCAGGGTGGCGACTAGGAGCGGCCATACAAAGATGATTGTGAGGTTGGTTTTCGGTAAGTCGACGCATGTAGAGCCGGTTCTATTCGAGAACATGGTCACTGGCCTGCACAAGATCAGGGACGCATATCCCGAGCTGTAGACGAACGTGGACTCGAGTACCGCAGCAATCGTGTCCAGAGCCGTACTCATGTACTAGTCAGGTACCTCAACATCGTGGCAGGCTTAGTCTGGTCGTTAAGCATCCCTACGGTGGCGTACCTGTTCATCTTCGTGACTGAGTACCTGACCGCAACTAAGGCCGTAGGTGGTTTCGAGAGAGGGCAGTCACAGAAGTACCGGATCGCCCTGCACAACAAGCACACGGTCACGACTGACTTGTTGGAGCTGACGACGGCCACGGTCGCGTAGACGGGCATGTACTGCATCATCACCACGAGCAGCTCTTCTCTCCCCAAGCCTAGGTGTGCCCGACCTATACCTCCCACTTAGGACAGTGGCCCAGTGGATGGCCGTGGACGGGTAGTGCTGCTTGAGCATGGGCAAGTGCCTGAGCTGGAGGACGCGCGAGATCCCGTATTTGCACTTCAACGTCCTCATCCTCCTGTCGCTGTCCTCGAACTCCACTGGGTGCCATCTTCTGCCTGTCGATGATGAGGTAAGCGCTCCTGAGCTTGGGCTCGGTCTTGAGCTCGGCCGTACGCGTGTAGACGGTCTTGCCTACCGGCATCTTCAGGGCCCTGAAGTAGGCGATGCTCTCGAAGAGGCTCATGCACGCGCTCATGTGTCGAACCTGCCCACCGAGCCCCTTATTAAGGTTCTTTGTACTGATGAGTAGATTAGGCCTGAATTTCTCGCTCGTCTCCGTGTCCATCAACACAACCATCTCCCCGCACGTGAACTTGAGGCCGTACCGGGTTGCCAACTTGTCGCCGATCATGAGCTCCTTAGCGTAGATGTGCACCTCTACGTTCCAGCCTCCGTTCCTGTTCATGAAGATCTTCACGACCAGAACCAGAACCGTGGGCTTCCACTAGTGCTCGTCGAACAACACCCTTCCCGGGCTCGACTGCGGCTCCCGGGAACGCGTCCTCGGTGTTGAGCGAGCGGTTGACGAAGGCCGTCACGATGTTCTTGTCCGGAAACAGGACCCTGTCCTCGGGCGTCTGTGCGTACATGATCGCGTCCAGGACGTCGGTCTTGACGAGGGGCTCAGACTCGCCCAGCGACACCATCGTGGCGTCACCCCTGATCGGGAACTTGTTTATGGACTGCACAACATCTGGACCGCGAGGCTGGCCCGGGGCTCCATCGTGTACATGTTGTAGTCGATGCACTTGGCTATGGTCCAGACGAACTGCTCAGGCTCGATCGTGGGGTCGGGGAACAGCTTGCTGATGAACCTCATTGTGTCCGAGCGGTAGACGCACATCGAGTCCACAAACGGGCCCTCGCCTACGATCTGGCGGTTGTTCACCAACATCCTCACGGGTCTGATCAACGTCCCGCTGGCGATCGCGATCGAGATCGAGACCACGTGCACCTCCTCGAACACGTGCACGGTCGGAATGTTGGTCTCGTTCATGTTCCTCCACAGCCTCAGAATGCTGTACAACTCGTCATCGGTGATCATGGACGTGAACCCCATGCACCTGAGGATCCACGACCCGTACGCGTATGTGAAGACGGGCATGAGCATCTGCGCCAACTCGATGGTTCTGGTTGTGCAGACCCTGATCGAGAACCCGTGCATCAGCAGCCTCACCCTCCTGGCCCCCTTCGACTGCGGGGTGAAGACTGTGCCGACAAACCCACAGTGCTACGCGTTGGGATACCTGTTCCTGAGCTCAGGGCTCTCGTTGCCCGCGCTGGTCCCGGTGGACAGCACGTTGTTGTCGTAGAGTAGCCCCAGGTACCAGTGGTGGCACTCGATCAGCTCCATGGGCTCGTATAAGCTCTTCTTGAAGTTGCTGTCCGACGGGTGGTTGGCAGCCTCGATCACGGCCATATTCGTGTAGACCGTGGCTTGGCCGTATCGCGAGTTGGCGGACGCGAGCAGATACGGGTTTGGGGGCTTGCCGCTGTACTTGTAGATCCACCTGGCCGCACAACTAGTGCAGCGCCTCGTCGCACTGCTCGACTGTTGTTAGCCGCCCGTTCTGCAGCAAGAACAGCGCGACGCGTGAGTCCTACAGTAGGGCTCCCGGCACCTAAAGACTGCACTTGATGGTCGACCGTACTTGATAACTAAGCAAGGCTACATGTCACACGTCAGGCTGACCTTTTTCCCATCTTCGGAAATCCAGAACATTGTTTGTCGGGTCACAAAAACGTCTGGGTATTTCCTAATTCGGCAACACCCCTACCTGAAACAGAAGTTGGAGAGGGGTAGGAGGGAGAGGGCGTTCGACTCAAAGTACAAGATGTTACTCGACAAGATCTACAGGCCCATGGCCCTGTAACCTTCCCCCTCATCGGTCGTCGTCGTCGTCGTCGTCGTCGTCGTCGCCACCGCCGCACCTTTGGTTTTGAGAGCCTGCAGTGTCCGTTTTACGCATAGATACAGGAACTCTTGCAGCGGGGTGGCTGTTACTAGCAGCTAGCAACGTGTGCATCTCTACCCAGTTCATCCGTGCATGGAGGGAAATCTGACCCAGGCTCATCGGCTCCACGTGTCACGAACCGCCAAGCATAACTTACACGTGACAACCCCCTATTAATTAAGCACCGTATGCTCACCGCCTGAGGGAAGCTTCCTTCCCTCATGCTTTGAGTTTCAGTTAAGATATACTATCAAGGAATACCTATACCTACCTGTACCTATCGCTACCCTCTGCCTATCTATGTAGGCCGTTCCTGACATAGATATAGGAATTAGCTAAGTAGCCTATTTTCGCTGACTCCTAGTTACGCGAAAGAATATAGGTATCGGACGATTCGCCTTCGCTAAAGATCGCTATCTAGATTATGATTAAGACGTCTTTAGTCATGCCTTTCTTAGTAATCTTATCCTTATCCTACTTCTCCTGGGGCGTTTAAAAGACTCATTCTCGCTTATTACTACTACCGCGTTAAATAGAGTATTCGTCGCTCTAGATAACTTTAAGCTAATCCTCCTACGTCCAGTCTTTATAGGCTATTACCTATTTAAAGCGTTACTTAGTACGTTCTTCTATAAGTCTAGGACGCTTTTTCGCTAGCTATTTCTTGATATTATTATCTCTAAGTAAGCGTAAAATAGTATTATTAGATACATTAAGTTAAAGCCTTTTTCTTAGCTTAACGTAGGAGATCTTCGGTAAGAACTTTACAGTACGTAGAATAAGTCTCTCTAAACGCTTAGATATCTTTTTAGGTCTTCCTGTACGAGCGTTCTTATCTAGTTATGGATTCCGTAGGATATCTAAGACTATTAATTTCAGGATGTTTATAGGACTCGCGATTTCGCGTATAGATTTCCCAGCTAAATGAAGGCTATATACTGTTCCGCGCGTAAAATCAGAATATTCGCGTCTCGAAGGCATCTCTATAATAACTAAACAATAAACGGAGCGATGGTAGTTAAGAAATAATCAATTGAATTATCTGTATCTATTTAGTGGTGTAGGTGTCAAGGGCCTAGTGTCCGGTGACTTTTGCGGACCTACTGTACCTCGCTGGCCTGCGCCTCTCCGGAGACCCACGAAGCTCGTAGGGTTGAGAGAGTGCATGAGTCGAGCATGTCGTAGAGTAAGAGGCAGGAGCGGGCATCGGCAGGCAACACGGCTGCAGCCTCAGCCCTTATCTGTGAATCGCACCCCTTTCGAAGCGAGTGAGAGGAGAGGTGGTTGAAGGCGTGACAGCTTATTGTTAGCTGCGGGCAGAATTGCACGTCAAGCAGGGTATATCTATGTACGCGAATGATATTTCGGGGATTGTTTCGGTCTTCGCCTGGATTGTTACTTTGGTTGTTTCTTTGTTGGCTGCGGGTAGAAATGCACGTCAATCACGGTACATCCATCTATGCGAAGCCATATACCTGTGATCTGTAAGCGAGGGACCTAGAAATACCCTGACCTACCCTCACCCAGCATGGCATTTGCTGCCAATTCAACGTTCTCAGCTCGTTACAAGTCTTTAGCGGACTCTGACTCTTTGCAACTTGTGGCGTTAGCGCAAGTGGGCAAAATCCCCGCATGTAGTTCGGACTTCCTTTCCAAACATCATCATCGTCCGGGTGTCGCATTCTGCGTTGGTGGAATTCACTAACCTCCTTGTCTGCCGTAGAGGACTGGCCCGGACCCGTTAGAAGTATATGAGAAACACATAATTGCGGGTGTAAGTCCACTTTCCGGCCACACAATTAAACACTCTTCTCGACACTAAAACGTGGGGACAACCATCTCAGCCCGAACCCCTGGACATTCACCGGTGTATCTTCGGCAGCAGATCAGCATACCCGTAGCTTTGGCTAACAAGCCCTATTTAAAACCACCGGGGCCCCCACCCCCAGCTATCCACCACAGAGGTCCCCAATGTGACGTGGTAGTTGTGAAAACAATCTCGCTTATTGAAACTGTGATGGGTTGAACCCAGGAGAAGGCTCGGCTCTCACGAACCAGCGCCAAGACTAACGCCAGGACTAACGCCACCTCCGAGACACGCACGGTAGCAACTGAGACACCGTACGTAAGGAAAGGCAAGGGAGCGAAACAAAGGTGTAAGGAGAAATGTAGGGCGTGTACGGAAGAGGAAGGAAAAGGGAGAAAGGGGAAGACAATGGCTATCCCTTACAGAGGAGCGTACGATATAAGGAGAGCAGAGCGAGCGGGTGTTCGTCCTTCTTCCTATCTCCTCAGATTTATTACAGATTGGCTAGCTGGTTACAGAACTCTTTCCAAACCCTCACAGAAGCATTCGTTTTCCCTGGCATCTACCTGTGGGACTGATTCTTGTCGGTTGACTCGAACAACTTCTGGCCGACGTGAGGAGCTTCACGAAACCCCTTACTGGCCCTAATCTCGATCGGGAAGTTTAGCCGAAGAATTCAATTTCCCCCTGCGACAACAACAAATTCTGCAGGCGCGCCATATATATATATATATCCGTGCCTCATCAATCAAGTTATTTCACTTACAATCTAGTCATCCAGTTCAAACCACCAAGTCGGCAGCAAATTGGCCAGCTCTGCAAAGACCATATACAGTCCGGCGCAGAACACCAGACGACAACACTTGAGTGTCCGCAACTACATATACATCCACTCCAGCCCTCAATTCCTGAAGATGGACCGCAGGTCAATCCCTTCTCCTAACGAGGAAATCGAGGCCTCGTCACCCGCTTCGCCCACGTCGCCCAGGCCAGGCAAGAACAAGTGGTCGAAAGAGGAGGATGAAAAAATACTCCACCTCCGCAATAATGGTTTGAGATGGGGCGAGATTGCGGAGGCAATGCCCGGTCGATCTCTCCAAAGTTGCAGGCTGCGCGCCCAGAACTATCTCAACATTAAAGAGTTGATGGATGTTGAAGCATTTAATGTCTCGCGGAACGACCGCAGGGTCAAGTGGTCGGAAGAGGAGGATGAAAAACTCATCAACCTCCGCAAAAATGGTTGGTCATGGGAGGCGATTGCGGACCAAATGCCTGGTCGATCTCACGAAAGTTGCAGGCTGCGCGCCGAATATCTCACCAAGCAGGACCAACAGGACCTGCTGGATGATGATGAAGAATCCAAGGCCTCGCCACCCACGTCGCCCCTCACATCGCCCCCCACGTCGCCCAACAAGCGCAAGATCCAATGGTCGAAAGAGGAGGATGACAAAATCCTCAACCTCCGCAATAATGGTTGGACATGGGATGCGGTTGCGGCTGAAATGCCTGGTCGAAGCGGCAGGAGTTGCCGGCTGCGCGCCCAGAACTATCTCTTCGGTAAAGACCTGCTGGGGGATGAAGGGCTGAACCTTCAGCTCGCAAAGGCGTATGCACGGTATGTCAAGTCCCTGGGCTATCTAGGTTTCACAGTTCACAACAGACCCTGACTCGGTCCATTGTAGGAAGAAGCAGGCATTTTGGGAGGATATCGGTCGAGACTTGAATAGGCCGTGGCAGATTGTGGAACAGATGCACTGGCAGATGGGAAAATGGGACATGGAAGAACTTGCTGGAGAGGAAGAACCCTCTTCGGGGAGCTTTATTCCAAGTTTACCTACTCGGCCGCTACAATTGCCAGGCGTGGAAGCCATGATGGCTGGAGCCAGGGTAAATCCGTATGCGCATATGGATCGTCCGCCTGGTTGATGATGGTATAATCTTCGATGAAACCAGCTCTCAGCCAGCAGACAAACAAGATCCAGGCACAGCTTGCAATACTATGCGCATAATTTCATTACAATACAATGTGTGTCAAAGTGAAAACCATTTTCGGGGACCACTGGGGGCGGATGCTCCTCTGTGGTTTGGCATAGATTGGGGGCGCTTACACCTCACCGAAGGTGTAGTAGCGCTAGTGACCTGGGCACTTGAATAGCTCCCGGTTGGCCCCCTGTCAACTGCTACAATCAGGAATCAACCCTTGGTCTTCGTGCGACCGACCCTACATGGGTCGACAACACTACACGAATGCCAAGATGGCCGGCCTGACTCGTGGTTGACTGCCTATTAATTCGTCAATCACCCCTCACCCCTTACAACATCGCACCTTTGCAGTCTCGTCAACCCTGATGATGGCAGATACCGAGCAACTCAAACACAAGGCGGGAGACCTCCATGAGGTTGATGATGCCCGCGTGTCCGCTGTGGACAGTCCAAGACAAAGTTCTGACATCGATGCTGTTAGGCTTTCGCGGGCCGAAAAGCCGAATGATGCGGCTGTGGCTCGGGATAGCGACCACGAAGAACGTCCCGACGCGAGCGTACCGTGCCCACCCTCGAGGTCTACCTCTACTCAAGACGCAAACCCAGCGCCATCCGACACATCGGGCTCCTCTGGGCACCGGGCTTCAAGGGCCGTTGTTTCGATCCCAGACTTACTTTGCGGGGGCCCCCCGAGGGCTGTCCCCCCGAACCCAGCGTCACCCTGCGGGAGCTCTTTGACCACCAACCTTTCGATTGATTCCTCCCCATCTGGAAACACGCCTGGTGCACCTATCCGGACACTGAAGAGAAAGGAGAGCCAGGAAGATCCACACGCCTCCCAAAACAAGAGGCTACAACTGGGCCTGCAGAACCCAAGACAGTGGCGCCATAACTATATTGGTTTATGGGCGTCGTCGGTTGGGGGAGGGCGTGCTTTCCAAGAGTTGAGGGATGCCTGTCGTTATTGGCTATGTGCTCCTCAATCGAAAATTTCACCCGTCTTCGGCACGAACCCACGTCAAGTGCTGGAAGCGATCAAGGGTCTTGACAAGACACAACACCTCAATTGCTATCTCGGGCGGATGGGGATCGCTCAATTGGCCGGACTCTTCAACTACGCTACCGCCCGAAGCCGACGGCCATGGGCGGAAACCAATGCGTACAAGGCTTTGATCGAACAGTATTGGAGCATTCCGTTTCCAGATGACGCCCAGCTTCAAAGGGATGGCCTGATCAATACCGCTATCCGTGGGGCAGACGAATGGAATGCGGCGAAAAGGTCTCTGCACGATTACATTAGAAGAGGACGGCGATGGCTCGACATCATCGAAAAGTTTGGACCGCTTGCCATGTTCCTTTTCCCTGTCAAGTGGCCCAACTTGAACGGAATTGAAGTTTCCGCGAGTGCAGAGTCAGTCTTTCTTCGATCGATTGTGGCCACCCGTTGCTAACCGCCCGCAGGTTCGAACGACTCAACATGGAGTTGCATACGAGATTGATGGGCGAAATCGAGAATCTGAGGGGGGAATTTCTACGACAAGCTGGACGTGGAGGGTTGTTTGACATGCTCGCGAGGACGGCTTATGTACACGAGGTGGACGCGCACGTCCCACTCTTGGAGGTGGGCGACGACGACATTGAAGGCCTTTGTGATGGTGATGGACGCTTCGTCGACATGGTGACAGTCAGTGCTGGTACCTTTCACCCGATCGTGACTCCTGCGGGAATGATGTGAGAAAAGTCAATGCTATTATCCACGAATACCATTCCCTTTACTAGCCTGTTGGTAATTTCCTCGCCGTCCCAAAGCTTGACGGATATGATCTGCGGCGTTAGTTAGCTAGTTCGTTCGTTCCTGATGGTGTGAACCAGCATCAACTGAGATTTCCCCTTGTCAAGCTCTTCGATCCTCGCCTCAAACCGCTCTCTTTCTAGATTCTGTCTGTATGTGATGGGTTAACCCCAGGAGAATGCTTAGTTCTAACGAACCGGCCCCAACACCAAACATTTTGGAGGTTGGAAGAGGGGGGGGGGGGGGCCACCACAGAGTACGGTAGGCGATTATATAAGCATGTATGTTTTGCTGGTGTCGTCAGCTTCACCCCCCCCCCGACTAGTGCGATTCGCATGCGGAACGCTTGCCACAACAGTGCGGAATGCATGCGTTTCGTATGCGAATCGCGTGGTTTTACTAGGCGCATGCGAGACGCAGGCGAAAAGTATGCGAGAAGCATGCGGCCAGCATGCGTGCCCCAGCGATACCTGTTCGCCCCTAAATATTGTACCCTTGGGCACTCCTACGCAGGCTGCGAGGGCTTTGCCCATTTTTATACGATATTTGCACCATCTTCGAAGGTCTCGGAAAGTTATTGCAATAGAGAACTCAGCAACGTCTGATACGACGGATCCTCCTCATTACCCGACTTGAGCAGGGAGACGATTGACTGAATTTGCATATCCATCCTCAGGTGCCGGGATCACGGGCTCAGTGTTCGTCCACGACGTCGTTCCAACGGCCGGAAAACGCGATGGGTTGAACCCAGGAGAAGGCTCGGCTGTGGTGGACCAGCGCCAAGACTAAACGCCACCTCCTGATTGGACGAAACAGACAGCGCCAGGGCGAATCCTAACAACTGAGACACCGTACGTAAGAGAGACAAGGTACAAGGAGAACTCACGCAAGGGATGGATGGCGTGTACGAAAGAGGAAGGTAAATTGAGAAGGGGTAAGCCAATGGGTACCCCTTACAAAGGGGCGTACGATATAAAGAGAGGGAGAGGCAGTATTCTTCCTTCTTCCTCTCTCTTCACATTTACCCTCCCTTGTTACTGGGCTGGCTAGCCAGCTGCAGAGCTCTCTCCGAACCCTCACAAAAAACAAGTGCATACTGAGGTGGAGAGCTTCACCAAGACTTCGACACAGATCTGGATCAATTACAAGCAGGCAAAAACTCTTTTTTTATACGATATTTGCACTATCTTCGAAGGTCTCGGAAAGTTATTGCAACAGAGAACTCAGCAACGTCTGATACGACGGATCCTTCTCATTACCCGACTTGAGTAGGGAGACGATTGACTGAATTTGCATATGCAGATGTTGTTGATCCTTGCACCCGAGGATCACGGGGTCAGTGTTTGTCCATCATGTCGTCCATCATGTCGTCCATCGTGTTCAACCCCTTGGAAATATTTTCCACGAATTCCACGAGGAGATTGACCTCCCAGCCACGGTCTGATTCGTCTGGGTGGTATGTGAGAGTCCGAGCGTCGGTATTTCCGAATTTCCGGCTCTTATGATGCTGATTCGAGGAATGTGGGTTGTTTTTCTTGGCGTGCCACCCAGACACCTGGCCACAGCTGCCACAGTAGGTTTAAAAGTCAAGGGGAAGGAGCGGCTCGACCCGCCAGCCACTGTCAAACTTCTTTAAAGACTGAATGTATTCCCCGTTTACTTTTGAGATTTGGCCCCCAACATATACTGTGCACAGTCATTACTACGGTTGTTTTTTGACCAGGTGACCTGCATTCACTTTCGTGTCTCGTGGCACCATTCAACCTGCACCTCAACTGTCTTCGCCGTGTATTGCATGTTCCGACGCCGAAACAATGTCACTCAGATCGATTATCGAGTGGACTCCCTACCCAAACGTCATTGTCACCATAGAGGAGCCTCTTCCGTCCAGCCAGCCAACGACGCCTGATGTCAAGCAAGAGCCTGAGGTGAAGCAAGAGCCTGAGGTGAAACAAGAGCCTGAGGTGAAACAGGAGCCTGATGTGAAACAAGAGCCTGATATCGAACAAGAGCCTGATGTCAAGGAAGAGCCTGATATCAAACAGGAGCCTCATGTCAAGGAGGAGCCTGAGGTGAAACAAGAGCCTGGTGTCAAGCAAGAGCCTGATATCAAACAGGAGCCTCATGTCAAGGAGGAGCCCCAGGTGAAACAAGAGCCTGGTGTCAAACAAGAGCCTCATGTCAAGGAAGAGCCTGATATCAAACAGGAGCCTCATGTCAAGGATGAGCCTGAGGTGAAACAAGAGCCTGATGTCAAACAAGAGCCTCATGTCAAGGAAGAGCCTGGCGTCAAACAAGAGCCTGATGTCAAACAGAAATCCAGAGCCGCAGAGAGCACCGTGCCCGCTCAGCAGTCAAGCATGGGTCAACAAAGCGTGGTTTGGACCCTGTTCCGTCTTCCGTATAGCTCAGTGATGCTGACGTTCCCCTTTCAGATCAGCCGCAAGTACCAATTTGTCCGGTGTTGGAGAGACGAGGTGCCGGGACAACGACAGCCAGGGCCAAATGAGGACGCATCGAGAGATTGGCCATTTCCAATCCCTCCCGGGGTAGTCTCTATCTGTCCGCTGTTTGATGGCACCTGGGAGCTGGCGGTCCTCACGAGTCACGTTCGGGACCTCGAGTTGGTGATCAACAAGAACCTCACACTGGAAAAGAACTACAATCCTCTGACACCGACGGGGGTTGATCTGATTTGGTGGCCGTATCATCACGCCACTAAGCTTCGCAGAATCATGTTGCACACACGAGTGACGATCGAGGGTGAAAAGCCCGGGTTACGTGGTGCGCTGTACCGTGCCCTGGGCGAGCAGTGTGGAGTGTCAGGTGTAATGGTGCTCATGCGGCATGGCAGGCCATTGATTTTTTGACGAGGAGCCAAAGCAACGAGATATTCAAAGCACGTCGGTTAGGCTGTACGATCTCAACCGTACCTTGGGTGGGGACCGAGCGTTCTTTCTTTTTCCTTTGGGAGAATCGGTGGCAGTTTGTGACGATGGATCTCCTGGAGTCCGGTGGTGGTGGTTTCATTAGGGGGACATTTCTTTCTGCTACCTCACGCGAGGAAGCTTAGCTAGCACCTCAGTGTGAGGTCTTTAGTCTAGCAGACCATAGCCTAGCAGACCACTAGAAAGTATCATGAACAAGCTTAATGGGTAGAATTCTGGCATCCATCCTCGCGAGGTCTCATCACGAACGAGTGTTTTCTTGAGAGCATGTCTCGGGACCTACAGCCACGGGGCTTTCGAAAGCACGAGAAAGGCGATATCCCTTCACCCGCAATTTCTTCGAGTTGATCTCTGGGCCAGCCGACGACGTGATTCACAGATCAACGGAATCGTCGTTTAACCCTTCCCAGCCGACTCCAGTCGAAGGCTCTTCCCGTGTACCCGGATTGTGAAGGGAGGGCAAGTCCTCCCAGAGCGAAAATCACCACAGGTAAGGGTTTGCCAAAGTCAAGGCCGTTGTCATTTTTTAATTTTTGGTATCTTTATTCTGGCTGATCGTCCTCGCTCTTAGTTCTCGTATCTGCAGCAGCCATTGTTTGGGCAAGTGAGTTGGCAGAACGACAACAAGGCGCCTTATTCACCACCACTTCCGGTTCGCCGACGATATGGAGACACCTCCCCGAGACGCGCAGGCCCCTCCGCCCCCTCCCAACTCGCCAGAAAGGTCGGGTAAACACCAGAGTACAGAGATAAAGGACCCCTCTACCTTTTTGGAAGAAGTGTCCACAGCCTTGTCCTCCTTGTCCATAGCCTTGTCGACCGCTTCGGAGGGGCGCAGGCAGTCCGACGTGGAACCTGCACCTCCCGCGAAAAGACGACGGCTTGAGAAGACCGATCCTGCAGGAAAAAAATCAGGACGGGAATCTCCTGCGACTTAAATGACATCCCACATCTCACAATCAAAATTCGGTCCCCGTTGTTGCAGTTCTGTGGAGGAGACCTAAGACCTACAATGTTTCTTTCTATTCGACTCGAAATTTCGGCGTATCCGGTACTCTCACCCAACTGAGAAATGACCCCTTCCCGCGTCAACCACCAGGTACGAGCTGTTGGGGGGAATCCAATCTATTCGACTTGGGAGTCAGAGCAAAGCAGGTCGGGCAGGTCTCGGTCCAGGAAATCCATTCGACTTGGGAGGGCAATTTCCATCTAACCTCGTCGCACAACCCGATTCACCAGAAGAGAACAGGAACACAACGGTTTTGGGTTGTGCGTGTGAAGTTTTCTTTGGCCGGTGGGATGGAGAAGATATGGTTATCATCGATATGGGGGCAATGCCTATCTGGAAAAGCTGGGAAATGGACTGACGGAGCCGTTCGTTGAACAATAGGCTGAGCTACCATTGATTCCAAGACTACACACGCACGCAGGCAGCGAAATACGAATTCATCCATCCCGGTATGTTTTGTTATCATTGGATCTTTTCTATCGTACTACACTTTTGTCCAATACCCACCTCTGCAAGGGATATCACCAATCCTCTCCCTCCATCCTTGTGTAACAGAGGCGGAACTCCCAATCTTGTTTCTTTGCATTGCTTCGCTCCGTCTTCCCTACACCGCTCCCCTTGACGCCTGATTACTACTTGCATAGAGGCCGAGGACCATTGGGTGAGACGCAAGTTGCCTTGCGTTAAGCTGTGCAGGGGTCCCCTGCCCACCGAACCAGTTAGGGCGCAGGTCCCCCTCCCCAGATGGTCACTTCGTCCGCATGTCTGCCTGACTGAACGCCATGCTGCCCCAAACCTGATCGGGAAGGTTGGCCGAATCACTTCCAACTGCGGCACACAAGATAAAATCCGCTGGTGCCTGCGCTCGATAGACTTCCCAGCCTCATCAATCAGTCGAGGTATTTATTCATTCCCACTTATACACCAAAAGTCCGATCCTGAACTTGGGGGGGCCATTCATTCATTCCCGGGCGCTGACCCCCCGAGCCATTCTGTCCTCCTCCTCCTTCACGCACTCAATTCGACAGGTGCCAAACACATCGATATGGGTCGTACGATTAAACCCCAAAGGATCAAGAGGGAGCTTGGCCTCAGCAACCAAGACTTTTTGAAATTCAAGCAAATCTGTCGAGATGCTCAACGTATTTGGCGCAACGAACACCCGCAGTCGAAATGGGCCAACATCAAAACGCCGTGGGGACTGATCCCCGAGCCAGAGATCGAACAAGTGGTACAGCTGGTGTGGAACAAAGGTGTCGAGAGGAACATTTTCCGTGCTGGTGGCGACAACAGTTACATCAAGAGAATGGCTATTCAGGACCGATTGCAGGCGATCCGCCAGAATTGGTACAACAACCACAGACGCAAGGCCGAGAAACTCATGTAAATTTCGGAGAATCTGGATTTCTTCTCACTCGCTGATTTATCTGTCTAGGACGCCCGCGAACGACAGGTCTCTGTCAGTTCTTCCACCAAGCCAAAACGGCAGACCTGATTCACAACAGATGGGACAAAATCTCGGTGCCTCTGGAGCGGGAGGACCCATCCGCCCATGGATGAATCTGCGCGAGCGTAGCCGCTGAGGGCAAGGACACACACACACCGCGTCGGTTTGGCAATAGTAGTAGCTAGGGTTGTTGGGGGGGGGGGTAAGGG